TAAAGAACTCGTGAATGCTCGTTATGACGCCGCTCGACTGACTGACTGACTTGTAATGTAACACTCAAAGGGATTCGCGAAAAAACCGACAACACGATGGAGCGCCCGCGAGCGTGAGCAGCTCGCATCGAGCGGCTCCGTTCGCTGTCTTCACTTGTGTAATGCTCGATTTGTAACTCGTTACATTACAGGCAAATGTTACAAGTCAGTCGCCACCTTTAGGGAAACAGGACCTGAGAATACAGATTGGATTAATATAGAATAGGATATGATTCACCGACATGCTTTTTTTTTGTAAACAGAGTAATTAGTCTAATAAATATACGTGCAATACTTATATTATTCTACAGGGTGGGTGGGAAGTAAGTAGGCATTGAGAAATGGTATTAAGCGATTATTTAATGCCTACTTACTTCCCACCCACCCTGTAGAATAATATAAGTATTGCACGTATATTTATTAGACTAATTACTCTGTTTACAAAAAAAAAGCATGTCGGTGAATCATATCCTATTCTATATTAATCCAATCTGTATTCTCAGGTCCTGTTTCCCTAAAGGTGGCGACTGACTTGTAACATTTGCCTGTAATGTAACGTGTTACAAATCGAGCATTACACAAGTGAAGACAGCGAACGGAGCCGCTCGATGCGAGCTGCTCACGCTCGCGGGCGCTCCATCGTGTTGTCGGTTTTTTCGCGAATCCCTTTGAGTGTTACATTACAAGTCAGTCAGTCAGTCGAGCGGCGTCATAACGAGCATTCACGAGTTCTTTATATGAGAGTAGCGTATTAAATGGAACAAAGATAACACAACCTCCACGTCCGACATATTGAATGAAATGAATGGAGCACACATGAACACAGTCGAGCCGAGCGTTCAAAACGATCATTCGATACGCCTCACCAGTTGTGGTGTAATGTAACATGCTCGCCGCGATTGTTACATTACGAGTAAATGTTACAAGTCAGTCGCCACCTTAAGACGAATTTTAATAGTAACGTGCATCAGTGTCTGTCTCTTAAGTGGTATCTTTCTTTGAGACTGTCCTCTAAAAATGTTGTATAAATTTTCTCCTTCCAAGTTAATCATTATTTATTTCATTATCTTAAGTATGTAAGCTACGAACTTTACTGCATACTGTTTCTGTCTGTTTCTTAGATATTCAACTCGGCACTTCGCACTTGAACACCCTCAATTAATGTCACGCTTTTAAAACGAGTAATAATTAAGTTTCGCTTTTGTATAGCTTACAGGTAAAGGCACGTTTCTGTATAGGAAGCATTTTCTTATATTCATTGCAGTGCCTACAACGTTGCTGACTGGTTTTAATATTTTCCATCTGTTTGAGCAGTGTTTTGTGTGAATATTGACAAGAAATAACGGGCCGAATCAGAATTGATTTATATATTGGACATGGTCTTTAGTTTATCCCGCTCCATTCATCTGTCACAGCCGTTTCTTCAAATTACAGCAATTGGCTTCGTTAAATTTTCCTTTGATTTTGATATTTTTTGCGCCTAATAAATCAGTGTAACCACGCAGTTTTAATCTGCTATTAGGATAAGGGTATAAACGCTGGAAGTTTTGCATTGACTTGCTATGCCGAATAAAGTTGAGTGAGGTATGAAGTCTACCGCCTGTAATGTAGGTAATGTAGTCTCCTTCGTTCCCACAAACTTGCTGTCCATGCATTCCAACCTGTTTACAGGCAGATCTTATTTTATGTGTTTAAGAGTCCATAAAAGATCAACTCGCCCGGATATATGAAGAGGATAAACAGTCGGTAGAGGAAAAATGTAAAATACGTGGTGTAGATTCTGACAGATGGGTTCTTTTATATAGGAGCCCACCGTGGAGTAGCCCCCGAATTATTTATTCTGTCTGAAGAAGAGTATGTTCACCAGTGGCGGATTCCCCGGTCTGGCTCTTGGAAAGCTACTAGATTACTGAAACTGGAGGAATATAAAGGAATATTGTACTGTTATATGCAACAGTGGCTTAAGAAAATTATTAATAATAAAATACCTTAACACTGTGATTGTTGGGTGATTTAATAATAATGCGTTTCAACATTACCTGGGTTCAAGACAGGGATTCGACACTGATGCTTGCAGGAGACAAAGTAAACTTGTTAACTTGGAGAATTGAATGTGAAGTGGATCTTGGCCTGTGCGTCAAATTCTGAGACATACGTGATTAACGAATAATGAGCTGTAGTTGTGGCTGACTGTTTCAATTAGTATCGTCCTCTTTTGTTTTCATAGTGGTCGCAAGGATGTAAACGCGCGTACACAGTCAGTGTTTAAAATGCATTGACTTCGGTTATATTTATTACAATTGTCTGAACACAGGACTTGACACATGTTTTTTTCAGGAGATGCTGTCCTGTGCACATTGCCACTAGGTGTACTGAAGCATGACACATGTTTTTTTCAGGAGATGCTGTCCTGTGCACATTGCCACTAGGTGTACTGAAGCATGACACATGTTTTTTTCAGGAGATGCTGTCCTGTGCACATTGCCACTAGGTGTACTGAAGCATGATACATGTTTTTTTCAGGAGATGCTGTCCTGTGCACATTGCCACTAGGTGTACTGAAGCAGTGCACTGCGGCCAACTCTCAGGGGGTGCCCAACACCGTGCAGTTCATCCCGCCATTGCCCGACTGGAAGGTGGCAGCCATACAACGCTTGGGTTTTGGGAACCTGAACAAAGTAGTGTTGTGCTTCGAACGAATCTTCTGGGACCCCAATGCAAACCTGTTTGGGCATGTGGGTAGCACCACGGCAAGTAGAGGTGCGTTTATAAACAGAACTGCTTTCTGCCTCAGCACCACGCCTGAAAGGCATGTAGAGGGTTTGGAGTTAGTGCTCCACTTCCACTTATATTAAACTTCGGCACTCTGTAAATGCTCCTGCGATTTTACTCTGAGGAAGGGGTTTATTTTCCCAGCGGGGATTCTCCGTTGCCGGTTTGGATGTGGTGGCAAAGGAAAGATTAGGTACGAATATTGGCACATTCATAATACGGAAGGAGACGTGCAATGAAACCATTAGCCCTATGAAGCCGAATCTCGTCTAAATAATACATTTTTTTAAAAAGTCAGTTAGTACTTCAAAGTGAATAAAGATCTGGCTAATGCAGTTTAAGGAAATAATTCCTGGCACGGATTTTGGACAACGCTTTCGATGTCGTACTCTTAATTGGTAACGTTATTAAATTACATTACTAATTTTCTCTAAATTAGTAACTACTTATGTTGAAATATTGTTTCATTCGTGGTGGGTATTGAATATATTCTAACACGTCAATATTTGGCTCTATATGCCAACAATTTATTTAGGCCCTCGAGTAACGTGAGTTTCAGATGAATTAAAGCAAATGACACTGATACATACAAATATTTATACAGGCATAAGATAAGTGCCCTGAAATTAATTTTTACCATCTGCCCAAAGATTTCATAATGCAGCCCTTGTAAAAGTGTTGTCTGTTCTGTCTTAGTGTTTAAATACCTTCAGTCTTTCACACCGTATTATTGTCTTGCCTCACTCCTTACAATATTGTGAAGAGTCAATCGATGTTGAATTTCATGTTTAGGTTCGTAGATTGCACTTAAGTCACTGTGCATTTCAATGCACATGTTAGTTAGTATAAAATGTTCAATAAAATCATCAAAGTCTTTAAAACATATATACAGTATTATTAATTGATAGTAGTGCAAGGAATGAGAGACGGCCAGTAACGAGGCGTGAAGAAAGTGACAGTGTTTAAACACGAAGGTAAAATTCTTTCTTTTTCCTTTCATTAATGAGTGTCCTTAATTTGTTGAACGTGCGCGTCACTTATAGCATTATTTCTATATTAATTAGTAACATCCACTGATTAGAAAAGGACATGTGGGTGTGGCATTTTGTCTTCAGCTGCTCTCCCAAAATATGTCAGGCGTTTTGAATTGTCGGAGCGATAACGGAGTACAAATTTGTATTCCCAGGTGAACTGTTTCTCTTCTGGAACTTATACCGAGCTCCAGTGCTTCTGGCCCTAGTGGCCGGAGAAGCGGCGGCCATTATGGAGAACGTCAGTGATGACGTCATAGTCGGTCGCTGCATTGCCGTCCTCAAGGGTATCTTCGGTAACAACGCAGTGCCGCAGGTAAGCCAATTAGAAAAAAATTTAAACTTTTAGAGTTTGTGCTCATTTACCTTGGCACTGGCTAATTCCTCTGATTATAGGCGTACAACGTCGAATGACAAGGGATCTCAGTGAATAATTAATTGGGAAGGATGTGGAAGGAAGATGTCATGGCCTAATTTGAGGCACTGTCTCGGAATTTGCCTGTAGGGACTGAAGAAACGCGCGTTAAACCTGCCAGGATAGTCGGTCCCGCGGTTAAGATTTTACCTGGGATCTCCCGAATACGGATCGGGAGTGGTAACCACTTGGCCACTATATTCCTTACCTCATTCTAAATTTTAATCTTGTAAACATCTAAATTACGATATTTTTCCACTTCACTCAACCTATGCGATTTAAGAAAAATCATTAACCAACCTATGAATCTCTGTCAGTTCAAGAAATCGCATGCAATGTGATTTTCAAACAGAATTCTGCGGAGTATTTTCGACCTAAGAGAAATGGTCTCAGAGGATACAAAAGAAAATATTCCACAATTAATTATTCCATAAATAGCCTACACGCTTCATAAAGTGTAAACAGGCTCTATAATTTAAAACACAAACCAACAACAGTCTCGTATTAATGTACAAAAATGAAGCTAGAATCATCTTCACCACGTGTAATTGACTGTCTTAACCTCCTTAGTAACACTCGAGTCAAGGTCATCGTAATTGCTAGGCCGATTCTCTCGCTAGTTCAGCAAGAACTCTGCAGGTGCGAACATGGCGCTCGCGATGAGAGCGTGTGTTAATTCTCGAGACATTACTTTCATTGAAATAGTATTTCGCTCTTCATGAAACACTTAACAGTGTCTGTCCTGACAAAGAAATACTGAATAAGACGACGATACACCGATTGTTAAGAAATTTTCGGGACGCAGAAAGTGTTTGTGTCAGGAAACGTGATCGTCATCGAACTGTGCTGTAAGTTTTCGTAACAAATAAAAAAAACAAGCATCTCCTTTGTTGTTTTATGTGGATTTTACCAAAGGTTACAGATATTGTTGTACTTAGAGTGTCATTTTAAATGGAACACGCTGTATAAAGTGCGGCCTGCTGGTGTTGCTGCAGCCGAAGGAAACGGTGGTGACGCGATGGCGCGCGGATCCATGGTCCCGTGGATCGTACTCTTTCGTTGCTGTGGGTTCCTCCGGAAGCGACTACGACATCCTCGCGGCCCCCGTTATCGCAGGCCAGAATCAGCAGCACCAGCCCGGACTAGCTCATATCCAACAATACAGACTTTTCTTCGCCGGTAAGTTCGTGTTCGATTTTCTTTTGTCTTAACAATATTTCGAGGCTTTTTTATAACTTCAGTGAAAAGAAGTTCTCCTGACAGAGGACTCCTTTTCGAAATACGTTCTTTTATAAAATCACTTTTATAATATGTTGCGTCGTGCAGTCTGACAGAAGTAGACCGACGTTTCAGAGGTGCTTACTGCCTCTGTCACTAAAGCGATCACCATGTTACCTGTGACCGCAGTATTTCAGTTTTTTTACTGATCGTAGATCCTGTACTTTTAACAATGATACTGGGCAACAGTGGCGTTGTGTCTGGTATATTTCATTGTCTAGAGACTCTTGGCAAGATGACGTTGAAGCCTGAAGTAGAACTGCTCCTTAACTTTACCTGCGGCCATTTTGGATTGCTTCTTTAAAATGCCTCCCTTAAGCCAACGGTCTATTATAGAAGTTCGTATAAGTACTGTGCTCACTTGCCATTACGAATTCTTATTGAATCTACTAATATAATTGCAGATATATTAACCGTAAGGAATTGTGATTCTCAAGTTTGGATCTTATTTAGAGGCAAAAGTGTCCCTAGAAGAGTTCGGTGCCCCTCCTTAGGATTTAAAGGTGTACAAGAAATAAATTCGACGCTGTATAATCTGAGTTATTCAAAAAATGTCGTTAAATAAATTATAAATGAATAAATAAGAAATAAATATATAAAAAGAAAGGATATAAAAATGTAACCTGTAAGTTTAATATTACTGGCACAAAGCTGTATGTTTATTAAAAATCGTATTCTTGTCTGTGTTCCGATACTAGAATTATATTAATTTTCTGTACTTTAATATGCTTTATGTTACATTTATACTGCATGGGCGCTTAAGGTGTCGCTGTGCAGAAAATATTTCATACATCGTAAAATCTCGACACTATGTATTTCTAGCTAGTAAAAGACTGTCGTTGAATAAATCATAAATAACCACCCCCCCCCCCCCCCCCAAAACGTAGGAGCCTTATACGTATTTAGTCGAAACCTTGTACCAGGTTCGTAAAGCAATGTCAATATTTCGTGGGGAGCGCTGCGCTAAATTCTGTTAATGCAATAGGCCTAACCTTATTTTGACATCCTAAATTAGTTTAAGAAGAGCATGTAGTCTACATGTGCTCTTATTAAAATGTTAACATATAGTTTTATTATAATAACAACTAAATTTTATTGTCCAGTCGTTATCACATCTTCATTGTTTGCTTCTCGGAGTCTCCGGTTAGAATCTAATCTGAGAGACATGTTGTCATACAATCTTTGTTTTTCTCAGTTCCTTCAGGTGCCAGTGCTGACCTTTACAGTAATATCGAAGGCTTCCTTTCAGATCGTTTCCGGCCGTGACCATTTATAATCATCATTCTGTTTATGATTATAATTTATATAACATCTACAGTTGAGAAAGCATCGATGAATAATCCAAGACAAACAGTAGTCGCTGAATAAATGAAGAAAACTCGTTTGAGAGTGGTTGAAGTAGCTGCAAGTGTGTGTGACACGTGTATGAAATTTCGTAGTATATTTTTACACCCCTGTTTGAGGGATTGGCTGTTCACTTCCTTTAGTTAAAATTGCTTTTTTTCGTAGGGGCTTAACTGTAGTAAGTAAACAGGAAGACTGGAAATATGGCAGTTACGTTTTATTAACTGCGGTATAAGACTGTGGTGTATTTTTTAATAATCCTGATATTATTACGAAATACAGATTATGTGTGTGAGTAGCTATGTTGTAAACTTATATTCTTTAAAATCGTATTTTTGAGGTGAGGAACTGCATTTGTTCTCATTCGCCGCTACGATGATTTGATTTATTACGAACAGCGATTTTTACCGTGATTTACCGCAGACATCTTGAGAACGTCTTGACATCTGTCACTTAGAGTTTTGTTATTTTAAAAATAAAAGTATCTTTATCAAGACTGTAATATACTCTTCAAAGAACAACATCCCAGAAGACAGCAATCTTCAAACTCACCGCCGTGAAAACCTCAAATCCTACGTGGATTGTGGTTTTCTGCGATGTGTCACCTGGTAACCTTGCGTTACGTAATCGCATACAGGAAGACCACAGTCCATAAGCGGATAGGTGTTATCGAATTTAACCTTTGTACGAGATATCTGTGTAGGTAATTATGTTTTCCTTTCTTCTGTCGTTTGATTAAATTAGACAAAATTAAGTTACAAGCGTTTCTATGTTTTTAATAGGGTCCTCAGTATCAGTACGTTGGTGGAACGTGCATGTACAAAAGGCGACACAACATAAACAACAAAACAATTTAAATTCCTTTTTGACAAGACCTAATTTTTCTTACTTAGATTTATTTTATTTCGTCTTTTCCTGAGAGCTTCCATCTTTTACGTAACTTCTCTTTCGTAAGCTGCTGTTTCCTATATAAAATGCCGACGATTTGAAAGTGACGCTGGAAGACAAATATTATGTCCAGCAACTTGTTTATTTCCTCGCCATTTCGCTCTCGTTTGTCTCTGTGCGTTTCAGATCTTATGGTCTTGCGAGTGGCGGGTGACGAAGATTTTCACATTACTTTCTTCCTATATTTGTCCTGCCTAAAGTATCTGTGCCTTATGCCGTTTGTAACAAAATAACGGCATTGCTAATTTCTCACGACTGTTTTATGCGTGTTGACCAAAAATCTCACCTGTTGGGTCTACGAGTTGTAAAATTACTTACCTAAAATAATACACTGCCAGAAACAAACACTGAATCATTCTTACTTATTGGTTTGTCTCTAAAAAGGGGAGTATGTTACATCATCACGTATTTTCTATTATTTAGGCCTGGTATGGGCAACCCCCGACCCTGGGGTCCGCATTTTATTCAGCCTGCGTGAAGTTTTACAGTTTTTTAACACTTAATTACCACCCTTAATATATTTGATGTGTTAAATATCGAGGTGTTTTATATTCTTGCATTGGCAGGTTGAAATTCTTACCTGCATAATTACGTTTATGGTCCATGGTTGGAACAGGTGAAGGCAGAGTGCAGCACGTTACTAGGAACATGGTCGTGGCCGAGAGAGTGCGTTGCTGCTTTGCCAACCTGTTCCACAGAACCTAAGAAATAAAGATGGCAGCACAATATCTATATGGGAATACTCGCGAAATTTCCAGATTTCTGCTTCCATATATAAGTGCCCACACGCGAGACGAAGAATATGTCAGGGTAATATTCAAAAGGGGCACGGCCCGCCTACCGCCATCATGGAGGCCTTCAGCTGAAGTGATTTACACTCCCCCTCCCAAGGCACAGAGGCCATCTGTCAAAGCGATCGCCACTACTTCTGGGTTCAAGTCCCAGAGAGCCATTCTACCAAAAACCTTCTCTCAAAGTACAACTTCCCCAGTGGTTTAATCTCCCACCAGTAGCAGTGGACCCTAGACTGAACAGCCAGGGCTTTTCGCCGGGAAAAAATTCCCACATTTTAGTTTTTAGGCACTGTTTACCATTTCCAGAAATTCCTTTCGTAAGCAGGATTGGTAATCTACCAAGGGGCAATGCCTTGCTTAGCTTTTAGGTTGGTTAGGGGTTGGTAGGAAGAATTTGTTGTAACTTGCTAATAATCTTTCAACTTTAAGTAAAGAAATAGGTCTGTAATATATCGCCAGCCAGCTGGTCTGTTAGTTGAGAAACACTGGGTTCGAGAAAATTCTGTGACAAGATTCCAATTCGGGCGTGCTGCCCCGTGTAGTCTGGTAGACGTGTGCCGACGTTTCGGTAGTACTTGGTTCCTCCATTATCAGGGCATCGTTCCCATAAAAACGAGATCAGTCCACGTCAGTATTGAAAGTGGGAACGTGAACTGTAACTGTGAAAACAGTAGATGCTTGCAAATTGTTTTCGGGGAAAAATAAATGAAGCGTGAAATGAATAACGTTTGCTTAGTTTTCTCGAAATTTAGTTTTGTAGACGCGTCTGGTTTTGCAAATGATAGATTCGGTTATGAACTTACTGTTTTATGATTGCTGTTCATCTGGAAGGTTCACGATACAAACGACGCATTGTCCTAAAATAACCAGAAAGTCAGTCATCCTTCTTACGGTGATGCGCATTGCAGTCTTCCGTTATTGGACGGTGTTACAGGGGAGCACACGATCAGAAACTACCCAGCTACTGTGCACGGAGCATTCCTGAGTGGGCTACGTGAGGGGGGTCGTATTTCTGACCAGTTTACCGGCCGCCCATACTCTATGCCACCTGTACCGCCCGCAGCGTGAATTTGAGAGTTCTCTGCAGCTGCTGACGTGTGCAGATTCGTTGTCTGAATGCTAACACCGCCAGTCGGTGTTCTGCTGAAACAGACGTAATGTGGATCGATCTGTTGGTACCTACAAACTTTTGGATAAAGGAGATTGGGATTTTGAAATTGAGTTATGTTGCGTTTCTGCTTCATAAGGTCAATGCAATAGTTGAAAAGAGATATAGAAATCAACACTAAATAGTTTTGTTTTATCGTATTACGTAATTATTTATGAGCCGGGATAGCTCAGTCAGTATAGTGACTAGCTACGGGCTGGACGGCTGGGGGTCGATCCCCGACCGGGGCAGAGGATTTTTCCTCTAGCCTCTGCGTCCAGACCGGCTCTGTGCCCCACCCAGCATCCGCTACGATGGGTACCTGGGTCCTGTCCCTGGGGTAAAGCCGGGCGGGGCGTGATGCTGACCACTCACCCCCATCTAGTGCCGAGGTCAAGGAAGAGAGGAGCTATAACTCCACTCACCCCAAACGCCTAGATGGCGTATAGTGGGACAAACTTTACTTTACGTAATTATTTACTTTTTGGTATCAGCAATAATTTGTGGCTTTTACGATTTAAATGTTCAAAGAAGCACGCAACTTAGATGTAATACTTTATCTAAATGATGATTGTGTGTGTGTGTGTAGAAAGAAGAAGTTACTGCAACAAAGTCCTTCAATTATGGTCAGGGAACATTAAAAGGAAACAATCGAAATTACACTCCTC